GAACCCAGCCGAGCCGAGCCGGGCCGGGCCGGGCCGGGCCGGGCAGAGCCGGGGCTGCAGAGGGAGATCCGGGCCGAGCCGGGCCGAGCCGGGCAGGGCAGAGCCGGGCCGGGCAGAGCCGAGGTGCCAGGCCTGGGCAGGGCAGAGCCGGGCCGGGCACAGCCGAGCCGAGCCGGGCCGAGCCGAGCCGAGCCGGGCCGGGCCGAGCCGAGCCGGGCCGAGCCGAACCCAGCCCAGCCCGGCCCGCCCTGTCCCGTTCCCGGCTCGTTCCGTTCCCGTTCCCGTTCCCGTTCCCGTTCCCGTTCCCGTCCCGTTCCGTTACCGGCGGCCGCTCCGCTCCCGCTCCCCGGCTCCAGCTCCCGCCGTCATGTGACCCCGGCCCGTCACGTGACCGCGCCGGCCGGAAGCGCTCCCGCCGCGCGGCGCCGCTCCCGGCGTGCCCCCGCCGAACTACGGCTCCCGGCGTGCCCCGTGCCCGGACCACAACTCCCGGCGTGCTTCCCGCGGCGCTCGGACGGCGGCCGGGGCGGGCCATGGGGCGCGCAGACATGGCGCGTGTCCCGCACGTCGTGGCCGACACGGGCGCGTTCCTGAGCGCGGCCCCGCTGCAGGTACCGGGGAACCGGGAGGGACCGGGGTGGGGGGCCGGGGTGACGGGCCGGTGTGACGGCGCTGCCCGCAGGACATCGCAGAGGCGCTGTACACCGTGCCCGAGGTGCTGGCCGAGATCCGCGACCGGCCCGCCCGCCGCCGCCTGGCCGCGCTGCCCTGCGAGCTGCGGCTCCGCCGCCCGCGCCCCCAGCGATCCCGACGAGTTCGGATCCTTCCTGTACTGGCGGCCGCCCCTGCCCAGCATCGAGGAGGAGCTGCGGGAGCTGCTGGTGAGGCTCTCCCGGATCTGCCGCTTCTGGCTGGCCGATCCCACCCCTGTGCCCCCCTGACCATCTCCTGCCCCCCGGGCCAGGCCATCACCGGCAGCCCCGAGCCCCCCGAGGAGCACCAGAGCTCTGCAGACGGGGCCAGCGCCGGCGAGGAGGAGGAGGAGGAGGAGGAGAGCGATCCATGAGGCTGGATAACTCCCAGCAACCTGAAGCAGGCCCAGCAGGACACGGGGCACTGTGACACTGCTCCCGAGGGTGTCCAGGTGGGCTGTGTCACCACGGACTTTGCCATGCAGGTGGGTGCTGGGCTGGAGCCCCGTGCGTCAGTCCCAGGGGCCTCTCAGAGCCTGCAGGGCTCTGCTGGCCCAGCTGGCAGGTCCCAGCTGCCGGGCTGTGTCCTGCTCTTGCAGAACGTGCTGCTGCAGATGGGCCTGCACGTGCTGGCCGTGAACGGGATGCTGATCCGCCGCGCCCGCAGCTACATCCTGCGCTGCCACGGCTGCTTCAGGTGCTGGGGCTGGGGCTGAGCCCGGGCTGGGCCCGTGGCCCGCGGCCCCGGGAGCTCTGAAGCCCCTGTCCCTCCCTCAGGACCACCTCGGACATGACCAAGGTGTTCTGCCCCCACTGCGGGAACAAGACCCTCAAGAAGGTGGCAGTGAGTGTCAGTGATGACGGCAGCCTGCACATGCATTTCTCCCGCAACCCCAAGGTGCTGAACCCCCGGGGGCTCAGGGTGAGTACCTGGACAGACTCCCAGACTCGCTGAGGTTGGAAAAGACCATCAAGGCCATCGGGTCCAGCCTGTGGCCGATTCTTGCCTTGTCAGCCAGCCCAGAGCACTGAGTGCCATGTCCAGTGAGTTCTTGCACACCTCCTGGGATGGGGACTCCACCACCTCCCTGGGCAGCCCCTTCCCACATTAACAGCCCTTTCTGTGAAGGAATTCTTCCACTGGGATCGCAGGGATGGGAGCCCAGCTGTGGCTGGCAGGTTGCAGGCAATCAGAGCAAGCAGAACATCCTCTGGCTGTTGCTACACTTGCCCCCAGGGCTTTCAGCCTTCCCTGCTCGGCCCTGCAGGGGCTTGGGGTCCCGGGAGCCGGGGCTGACCCCTCTGTCCCGCAGTTCCCGCTGCCGGCGCCGCAGGGCGGGAAGCACGCCAACAACCCGCACCTGGTGGAGGACCAGCGCTTCCCGCAGCAGCGCCTGTCCCGCAAGGCCAGGCAGAAAACCAACGTCTTCGACCCCGACTACCTGGCCGGGGCCTCTCCCTTCGCCGAGAACGACGTGCACAGCCGGGCCGCGCACCTGGCGCTGCGCGACGCCGCGCTGGGCGCCGGCCGCCGCCGCCTCAACCCCAACGCCGTGGGCAAGAAGTTCGTGAGGAGGAGGTGAGGGCAGGGCAGCCCCGCTGGCGGGAGCCGCCGGCCCGGCTGCGGCCTGGCTCTGCCAGGGAGAGGCCTCTCCCAGCTCCTGGGCACGGGTCAGGCCACGCTGTCCCCGCTGCGCCGGGGCACAGAGAGCTGCCGTGGCCGGGGTGATGGTGGCAGGGTCTGGGGAGGCACAGGGAGGGTGGGGTGGTGTCCCTGGGCACGCCTGGGCAGGGGCTGTGTCACCCAATAAACTCCAAACCCCAAGCCCTGTGACTCAGTCCCATTTCTGCACTTGCCTGTGCCAGGGGAGCCTTTCTCTGAGCCTTGAGGAAGGAGGGGGCTGGCACAGAGGGAGGGGGGATTTCTTGGATCATTTGCCCCACGGGATAATGAGCTCCACAAGGACAGGGGGTTGTGTCCCATCCCAGCACTGGGCAATGTTCAGGGGTAATGCTCTGGGGTAAAGCTTTGTGGCTAAATCTGCTGAAGTCTTTCACAGTTGACTGTTGTGCCCAGCTCTTGCTGCAGTTCCTCCTTAACCCTGCTGAAATTGTTCAAAATAAGGAAATACGTGATACCAGCTGTGGCCCCTGGTCCTGGGGAGGTCACAGGTTGTGGAGAGGGAGCAGGAAAGGGGAACACAGCTGGGCCTCCCCAGCCCAGGGCACTTTAGTGTGTCAAAGCTGCAGATGCAGGGCAGTGGGTAAGGCAGCACACATCCTGCTGAGGACGTGGGAATTCCAGCATCTTGGCTTTGGACTCCTGGCCTCACCTCCCTGGGGCAGACTCTGCCTCTCCCCCGTCCCTCCTGGGCTATGGGAGCCGTTCCCCTGGTCACAATTTGGGGCTGGGCTGGGCAGCCCCCAGGGGTTACTGGGGTGCCACACCACCAAGTCAGTGTGGTCCCAAGGACCTTTTCCTGCAGCAGCTGCAGCGCCCCGGGCACAGCTCTGGAGATGCCCTTGGTAAAACCATCACAAGACTTTAGAGTGTAAAATGAAAACTTTCATCGTTTATTCTCGACTGCAGCTGTTTACAGAAATATAGTTGCGAGTATACAAATGTCCCAATAGAAGCAAAATATTTTTTTTTTTTTAATATTCAACAAGTTATCACAGGAGAGCTAAAAACATAGATGCAAATAAAATATCCCCTCATAGACAAACTGAAAACACCGGGAATCAGTGCTTGGAAAACCCACCTACGAAAGCCATATACACAGAACTGCACGAAGGAGTATCTGGTGCTACTTTCACACTGCAGGACACAGAAGAGGCAGCTCAGCGGTCGAGGGTGCACCCAGAACATCTGGCAGGCAGGGGAGAGCCCACCTCAGGTGCAGGGACAGAGCTTGGAGCTCTGCTCCGAAGGGGTTGGAGCTTAACTCGGCTTGGCAGGCAGGGGAGGGCCCACCTCAGGTGCAGGGACAGGGACAGAGCTTGGAGCTCTGCTCCGAAGGGGTTGGAGCTTAACTTGGCATCAGCTCAGATGGAAATAATTCAAATTGCCTCTCCTTTTACCCAGAATAAAAAAGCCTCAGGAATGCTGCAGGGAACGGGATCCCAGTTCTGCAAGACCCAAAGAGCCACTTGCAAACAGGAACTCCCCCCTGGACACGTTATCCCCAGGGGCAGCCATGTCCTGCCCAGGGCACTCGGGTCAGACCCCGTCCCACGGGGCAGCTCCAGGGCCAAAACAAAGCCAAGGCCATTTACCTGTCAGGTGAAGAAACCCCTCCCTACTGCCAGGCTGGAGCTGGAATGTGTCACAGAGGGCAGCTGGCTGTGGGAGCCTTGGAGCCTCAACAGAGGGGTCAGGGAGCAGGGAGTCCTGGGTTCCCTGCCCTGTCCCTACACAGTGAATGTCACCGGGCAATTCAGTGAAGTGTAACAGTAAAAATGACACAGCTGTGGGAAAAGCAGAGTTCAGCTCTGCAAACTCCAAGAGAACAAAGGAGGACACTGGCTCTCAGAGTGGAGGAGGGATTTAAGACCTGTACCAGGATAACACTGACCCACCCAGGACAAATTGCAGTGGAGCACAGATTTGGAATTGAAAGTCATGTTGGACACTACCCATTACTGAATGTATGACCTGATTTAATGGCTGGAGCTCTGTCAGGGGAATTTAGGGTGGATCTCAGGAAAGGTTCTTCCCCAGAGGGTGCTGGCACTGCCCAGGCTCCCCAGGGAATGGGCACGGCCCCGAGGCTGCCAGAGCTCCAGGAGAGGTTGGACCATGCTCCCAGGGATGTTCAGGGTGGGATTGTTGGGGTGTCTGGGCAGGGCTGGGGTTGGACTGGATGATCCCTGTGGGTCCTTTCCAGCTCAGGATATTCCATGATTCTATGATTCTTAGGGTTTAATTCCTCACACAACCTGCAAGAAAGAAATTAGCACAAGCTGTGGCAGGTTCCTCACAGACAGAATTCAAGGGGAGCTTCACTGGCTTTCGAGGAGTTCTCTAGATTTTGACTGTTGCACTAATGAATCAGTTAAAATAATCAGTTTACAGACTCCTGCCCTCATGGGAATAAAGAGAAAGGGCAGAGGAGCTTCCCCTCCCTGACCCAGCACAAGCAGGGACCGTTTGCTACACACTAACATCCCACACGCCAGGGCTGGTGCCAGCCCAGCCAGCACCAGTCCCTGTGGGCACCAGCTGCTGCCACCCGGGCATGGACACGGCTCTGGAGGGACTCGGGGGAGCCCAGGGATGCTCAGGGCTGCAGGAAGCCCATCCTCAGCCAGCTCTAACCTAAACCACATCTGCAAGCATGAACAAGAACATAGGAGTGGCCACAGCTCTGGCAAGCCACAGATCCCAGCGAGGTTCCCAAGCAGAGCAAGTTCTGGATCCACGTCACCAACAGGACTGAGAGGTGAGACAGCTACTCATGAGTTACTACAAAAACCTCCTACTGAGGAAAAGGAGTATTATTTCGTGTTTATAAAAATGTAAATATAAGTGTTCTAATGCTGTGTCTACTATTATTTATATATAATCATCTGACTCCTCTATATACATATATATAATCCTAGAATATACAGGCAGTGCATATTTACATCCCTATACAGACTGGGAGAGGAAAAGCCTCTCCTCCTGTGTAACCTCCCCGAGTCCCCCACTCCCCTAGAGAATTTCACAAGTTCCCTTTGGCAGGAGTTTAGCCCCTGCTGCATTTTTTCCTTGTTTCTAACACGTTTAGCCCATCTCCAACGCTGACCCTCGGTGCTGTGGCATTGATGCCCTGGCACAGCTGGTCTGAGCAGGAACACAAAGTGCTCACAGGCTGCCACACAAGACTAAACCAGCCCCAACTGAAACAAAGCCCCTGAACAAACACAGCATCCCACTGCTGTTTCCTTTCAGCTTCTACAGAACAGAGCTGCCCCGAGCCCCCTGAACACAAAACCCCCCAGCTCCCTGAAATTCCATTTGCACTGATGAGCAGTCACCAGTGACCAGAATTTCCTGTGCTCACCTTCCACCTGCAGCTCGGAGCATGCCAAGCAACTCCCTCTCCTCTCTCCTGCTCCCCTCACTCAGATCCATGTCTGTGCTCCTCTGCTCTCCCACAATGGCCCTGGAAAAGGAACCCAACAGTTTGCCAAGCACAGGCACAACTAAACAGGAATAAAAATCCATTCAGAAGTATTTTCCCTTTAGAAATTAGATGCTAAATCAAAATATCAATGGAAACTTTAAGAAATAAAGTTCAGCTTATGCAAGTGAGGGGAATGCCCACTGACTCAGCTGCCCAGACTTGGTGCTGCCCATAAAAACCTGCCAAGATTATGTTTAACTGCTCATGCCTTGTTTTATCTCAAAACTACATGGGAAGCAGCCACCCTGTCAGTGATTAGAAGGAATCATCGTCGATCAGAAAGCGGACACCCACTTCAGAACAGCCAGCCTGGAATTATTTCTTGACTAGATTTGTGATAAAATAAGAGTGAAGTGTTTGGCTAGCTGCAAGACCAGCAGTGAGGAGGCAATTAACACCAGAACAAATGTTAATTAAGCACAAAGCACCAGTAACTCCGTGCCAGAGGAGATGTTCAGCTCACACTGTGCACCAAGTGTTGGCTCCGTGGTGTCTGGGTGGGCGCTGGGCACACTCAGGGTAAAAGCTGAGGGGACATGGGGGGGGTTGGCAGCTCCATCTCCCTCAACTCTCACCTGTGCCCACACACGGGTGCTCTGGGGCCCCCAGGGATGCTGGACTGGCACACACTCTGCCACCCAAAGGGCCCAGACACGATGCCAGTGCCCCGTGCTCCTGGAACACAGGGGTCATAGAGAAGCTCTGCTGCCCAACCTCAACTGCTAAAAATGCCAGAAGTGAACGTGCAGGGCCCTGGTGAGACACAGACGTGGCTCAGGCTGTGCTCCCTGCCATGACACCCTGCAGCCTGTCCCTGAGCTCTTCTGGGGCTGATCCAACCCCTCCACCCTCGGAGCCGCTGCCGAGCACGCGCCAACCGCTGAGCGACCTCTTCAGTCACACAAATACTTTTTGTAACCAAATCACATGTTCAAAGTGTTGTACATTTAAACATTGACCTAAAATGAACAGGTAAATTTAACACGAGGAAAGGAAGGTGTTTCCAGAAGGAAAACTGGGATAGCACAGCCCTTGGTTGGTTTTTTGTGTATGTTTTTTTCTCTCTTCTCTTCGTGAGTGACCTCAAGCACGCCCACGATTCAAACATACCCTTCCCTGGAGCTGTGGCAGGCTTGGGATGAGGTTCTCTTCTGGGCACTCATCCTGTTCCACGGAGAATTGGTCCCTGGTGACTTGGCACGACCAACAAATGGATAGAGCCCTTCGGAACAAGGAGCAAAAACTGAAGCAGCACGCGAGCGGATCCATCGTTCCCGTCACTCCTTCCGTGTCCGACGGCCCCAGGTGACCCCAGCGGCTCATCCTGGGACACAGGTCCTGCAAACACCACCAGTTCCTTTCCCAGTGAGTGCCTATGGACTTCCACGGCCCTCTGGACGTTGTTGGGTCCATTGTTCTCAGCCCAACAGCCCCACGCAGCACTGGGCACTGCTGGGGGCTGCTGCTTTCGTGTCGTGAACCATTACACGATGTTGGTAATGGTTTGTCTTAGCAGGGGAAAAAAATAAAATACAGAAAGAAGAAGTCTGGGTCGGGGTTAAAGCAGCTCTGGACATGATGCAGCGGGGAATTCTTTCTGTCCTGATTAAAATTTCCAACGTTTGAGCATAATCATAAATTAGAAGTTAAAACACAGA